GCTGGCCCTGGCCCTCAACCACATGGCAGACCGCCTCGGGGAGGTGTTCGCCGCTAGCTTGGCGTCGGGACGCTTCCCTGAGTGCTGGAAAAGCGGGAAGCTGGTCCTATTGAGGAAGCCGGGACGGCCAGCCGATTCGGTCGCGGCCTATAGGCCCATCGTGCTGCTGGACGAGGCGGGCAAATTGTTTGAGAGGGTTCTTTCTGCCCGCATCGTCCGGCACCTCTGCGAGGTGGGCCCCGATCTGTCGGACGCCCAGTTTGGTTTTCGGGCGGGGCGTTCGACAGTCGACGCCGTGTTGCGCCTGAGGGCCGTGACCGAAGAGGCCGTGAGCTGTGGCGGCGTGCTGTTGGCGGTGTCACTGGACATCGCCAACGCATTCAATAGTCTGCCATTCAGCTGCATCAGGGAAGCACTCCACTATCATGGGGTGCCAAAGTACCTGAGGCGGCTAGTGGCAGACTATTTAGAGGAGCGTACCGTCGTGTACGAGGACCGAGAAGGTAATTTGAGGTGTCGGCCCATGTCGTGCGGTGTTCCACAGGGGTCTGTTCTTGGACCCCTCTTGTGGAACATAGGGTACGACTGGGCCCCCCCGGGCTGGGTGTAATCTGTTACGCAGACGATACACTGGTGACAGCCCGGGGGGCAAACTTCCAAGAGGCGGCGCGCCTGGCCACAGGGGGAGTCTCCCTGGTGGTCGGGCGCATTGAGGCGCTGGGCTTACGGGTGGCCCTAGATAAGACGGAGGCCCTGTTATTTCATGGGCCCCGTCGTGGTCCACCCCCTGGCGCCTCAATCGTGGTCAACTCGGTCCTCGTACCGGTTCGGGCCCAGATGAAATATCTGGGCCTGATCCTCGACGGGAGGTGGCTCTTCGACGAGCACTTCCGACAGCTTGCTCCAAAGCTGGTCGGCGCTGCGTCTGCCCTAGGGCGACTCTTGCCCAATATGGGTGGACCCAGCGTCGCGACAAGACGGCTGTACACGGGGGTTGTCCGGTCAATGGCGCTGTACGGTGCTCCGGTGTGGGCGGCGGCTCTGACCGCCCAGAATAGGGTACGCCTCTGGCGCCCTCAGAGGGTAATGGCGGTCAGAGCCATACGCGGTTACCGCACCGTTTCTACGGAGGTGGCATGCGCGTTGGCCGGAACTCCCCCGTGGGATTTGGAGGCGGAAGTGCTCGCCGAAGTTTATCGGCGAGTGGCTGACTTCCGGGCGGAGAGCGGATTTCGCCCTCCGCCCGAGGATGTGCGCGAGTGGCGCGAAGCCGCTCGCCGAGCCACGATGGCTCGTTGGTCGTGCCGGCTGGAGACTCCACGCGCTGGCTTCGCCGCCGTGGAGGCTCTCCAGCCGGTCATCGCCGAGTGGGCAGTTGCTTCGGAAAGTACCTGCACACGGTCGCTAGGAGGGAACTGAGTCCCGCCTGCCACCACTGCGACTGCAGTGAGGACTCGGCCCAGCACACGCTGGCGGTCTGCCCCGCATGGGCGGCGCAGCGCCGGGCCCTCACTGCAGTCATCGGAGTGGATCTCTCGCTACCGGCCGTAGTACGCTCCATGGCCGGTAGCGACAGTTGTTTTACCGCGGTCGCAACCTTCTGCGAGGTAGTAATCTCGCGGAAGGAGGCGGCGGAAAGGGCCCGGGAGGACGACCTCCACTCGGACCCGATCCGCCGCCGGCGAACCGGGCGGCGGAGGCCCGCCTACCACAGCCTCATGCCGCCCTGAGTGTGGCCGCGGGTGGACGGGGTGGGTTTCCCCTCCACCCGCATTAGTTTGGCCAGCCGCGAGGGGGCGGCGTCCGCGTGTGCCGGACGTCGCCTAAAGAGAGGAAAAATATTGAGACGGAGCCCGCACCAGGAGCGGGCTGGCGCTAGGAGGGGTCCGGATGTCTTAACAACAGCTGTTCCCGGATCCCTCCTGTTACAGGCGCAGAGTGGCACACCGTGTGGTTTTAGTCGGTCCGAGTCCGACACACCACCCCGCCGCAAACCCCGGAGGGGTGACGGTCCGAGGGGATTTCCACACGTTAAAAAAAAAAAAAAAAAAAAAGGGTTTGTGTCAAGTTTTCCTTCTTTTTGCAGTGCTGGTGTCCTGCGTTGTTTTGCGCCCTTAGTCGGCTCTTACGACACCCAGGGGATGAATAGGGGTAGTGACATTCCGTATTCTTAATCCGTCACTACACGGACACTTAATTTTCTATCTTATCTGAAAGCTGAAGTACTTATTGGTAAAACCCACAGATATATTTCTGGGTTTTACTTTTAAACTTAATGATTACGCACACACAAGATAATTAAAGCAATCACGTAACAGGGATTAGATACTTTTCAAATGCTTAATGTTTGGAACATTTTGAACTGGCAGTCGTTAGTGACTACCTAGTGTAAATTAAAGTGACTTATTTATTTTCAAAATTATTTTATTTGTTCGGAAGAACGGGTGTCATGTCCCTCTAACACAAAGGCAGAATCCTGCGACCAAAATCCTAAATAATCAACATCACATCAGATCAACAGCCTTGAATAATCCACTGTTGGATATAGGCCTCTCCTTAGAAAGGAGGTTTTGACCTACTATACCACGCTGGCCAGACGGGTTGGTATAGGGTTTGTGTCAAGTTTTCCTTCTCTTTGCCGCTGTTGTCCTGCGTAGTTTGTCCCCTTAGTCGGCTTTTACGACACCCAGGGGATGAATAGGGGTGGTGACACTCCGTATTCTTAATCTGTCACCACACTTAAATAATATTGAAATTTAATTTCTGATTTTCGTCGTTGTAAACAGATCATAACGTAAGCAATTCAAAGTAGTTATTTGATGTGGGCGTGAGAAGTGGGCTTTCTTTTTTAAATTAGAACTGTAGGGAAACTTGAATGAATCGAACTACTAGATCAATAGGCCAGTGATTATAACACTAATACTTTTTTTTTAAATACAACTCCCGCATTAGGAATATATCCTGTGTCCCGGGGGAAACTTTACAAATATACATGAAATGGACACAAAGAACATCCAAACTCAGAACAACAATTTGTGGATCACACAAAGTGTCGTCCCATGTGAGGTTTGAACCCACAACACTCGACGTAGTAGGAAGCGGCGTGGCGACCGCTTAAACCACTACGCCATCCGTGCAGTCAAGCCTATTAATTTTAAGACCTTTCGAGAACGATGAAGATGAAGAGAAGAAAATCACACAAGACGTGTGTAAAAACAAAGCAAGATGTAAAATTGAGTATTAGATAAAATTTATGATTGAAGTGGGAATTTAAAGCAAAGGCAATATCAGTATCAATGAAAGTCGTGACATGACAGTAAGACAGATTTTCAACAGCCTTACACAGTCCACTGCTGGACATAGGCCTCTCCTTAGAAAGGAGGTTTTGGCCTACTATGCCACGCTGGCAAGACGGGTTGGTATAGGGTTTGTGTCAAGTTTTCCTTCTCTTTGCGGTGATGTTGTTCTGCGTAGTTTGCTCCCTTAGTCGGCTCTTACGACACCCATGGGATGATTGGGGGTGGTGACACACCGTATTCTTAATCCGTCACCACACGGACAGTAAGTAAGACCGATGTCTTCGGGTAAATATTAATTGTCAATCGTATCTGAAGAATTAATCTGCATGAATCTGTGGGTTTTTACCATTAATCGTACATTTTAATCGACTTAAAAATACAAGTGGAGATAGTTCATTGTTCGACTGTATGAAATTCTTTAACATGTGTTCACCAATTTAATATTTTTTTGTTTGTATGTAGGAGTGTAGTCCTATCATGAGGTTCCTTTGGACACCATTGCGTCTACAGGAAAACTCTTGAAACCTTTATACGTTAAGGTAGTTTTTCGATTTTGTTAAATTCTTAAATCAGTTGGCAATTAATCAATATCGGCATCAACATCAATGGCCAGTATATCACCCCCCTTTGATTTGTTGATGAAATAGTTGTCATGACCGAAACTGTAGAAGACCTTAGCGCAATGGTCGATAGTCTTAGTCTCTTAACGACTGGGTCCGAAACCATAGAAGACCTTAGTGCAATGGTCGATAGTCTTAGTCTCTTAACGACTGGGTCTTCAGAAGCAGGGCCACATTGCTCGCAGAATGGCTCGCTCGATGGCCAATAGGGCCAAAAAGTTCTAGAGTGGGAACTGGGTACTGGAAGACGAAGCCTAGGCACCCACAAGGCGGTCCGACGACTTGATGAAGGTCGCGGTAAGCCGTTGGATGTGGGCAGCACAGAACCGTGGTTGTGGGTAACTTTGGGGAAGACCTATGTCCAGCAGTGGGTCGTTCGGTTGAAATGATGATAAAATTTAAGGTTAAAAGTGATGAATGTTGTTATTACTCAGCAACTCAGGAAAAGAAGAGTATCTACGTTCCGATGTACGTATCTCTCTTTCTTTGCTCAAAAGGAATATATACCGAAGATTTAGATGATATCTGTCCAACAAAAGGTCATAGTGCATCATTGTGCCCACTAATAACAAATTGCTTGCTTTATAGTTTCAAATTATAAATGGAGAGACAGAGACAGAGAAAAAACCAGTGTATTTCTCATAAAAATTAAAGATTAGTAATATATTTTTTTAAATAATTCGAACAAAATAGGCATTAAGTCACGTGACAGCGAACACCAATCCGAAAGTGTTACGTCACGCAACGCAAAACATTATTGTTGTTGTTGACGTTTTCATACAACAGAGCAGGTTAATCCTTATTCCGAGCGTGGGTCCTGGCCTTAGTCGACTAGGCTCTCGAGCCCCGACTACGAGGGTTCTTCAGCGCATGCCTCGAGCGGGGCCAGTTTCCGAAATTGTGGAAGACGGGGAAAGTGGTCCTCATCCGAAAGGAGAGGCGCCCGGCGGACTCACTTTCCGCCTACCGGCAAATAGTGTTGCTTGACGAGGTGTGCAAGCTCTTTGACAGAGTGATTGCAAGGCGCCTCGTCAAGCATCTCGTGATCGTTGGGCCGGATCTGGCAGACTCGTTCAACACTATGCCCTGGAGCTGCATCAGGGAGGCGCTCGTGTATCACGAAGTGCCTCTCTACCTCCGCCGCATAGTCGGGGCATATTTGTCGGAGAGAGCCGTCGTCTACCCCAGTAGGACCGGCCTCGGTAGGCGTGAAATGTCGTGCGGTGTTCCGCAGGGGTCGGTGTTAGGGCCACTCTTGTGGAACATCGGCTACGACTGGGTGCTTCGTGGTGCCTTCGTGGATGGTGTCGCCGTCGTGTGCTACGCGGACGACACACTCGTGACGGCGCGCGGCAAGACGCACCACGAGGCAACCCTGAGGGCCACGGCCGGGGTTGCCCAAGTCGTTGAGCGTATCCGGCGGCTGGGTCTCGAGGTGGCTCTGCACAAGTCCGAGGCCCTGTTCTTCCACGGGCTTCGGAGGGAGCCGCCTGAGGGATCTAGCCTCACGGTAGGAGGCACTCGCATCGGCATCCAGCCCTCGATCAGGTATCTGGGGCTCGTACTCGATGGCCGATGAGACTTCGGATATCATTTCCGAGGTCTGGTCCCCAAGTTGGTTGGGGCAGCGCGTGCATTGGCGCGGCTGCTGCCCAACATGAAGGGATGACTCCTGCAGGAGACTCTACTCGGGGGTTGTGCGGTCCATGGCCCTTTACATGTGCCCAGTATGGGCGGGGGCCCTGAAGGCCAGCAACGTCGCGATACTGCGAAGACCGCAGCGAATGCTGGCCATCAGGATCATTAGGGGGTACCGCACGATCTCCTTTGGCACGATTCTCCTGGCCGGAACTCCACCGTGGACCTGGAGGCGAGAGCCCTTGCGGCTCTGTATAAGTGGCGCAAGGAGGCGCGGGAGTTGGGTTGGTGTCCCGAGACTCGAGAAATCGATGACCGGAAATCCCAACTCCGCCAGGTCATCATCATCAGGGGAGTGGAAGGAACGACTCGGGCAACCGAGCGCCGGGCACGCCGTCATCGCGGCGGTAAGACCCGTTATGGAGGATTGGCTCGAGAGGCGTCACAGGACCCTCTCATACCGACTGACGCAGGTGATCACTGGGAAAGGATGTTTCGGGGATCACCTGTGTCTGATCCGCAAGGAGCCAACGCCTGAGTGCCACCACTGCGATGGCCAGACCGTGGACACGGCTCTCCACACGCTGGCAGAGTGCCCGGCGTGGGTTGAGCAGAGGCGAGACCTCGTGGCGGCCATCGGAGTGGTAGTTCTCTCACTCGATAGCCTGATTGCGGCTATCGTGCGGAGCGAGAGTGCGTGAAACTCTGCCGTCTCCTTCTGCGAGCAAGTTATGCTCGCGAAGGAGACGGCGGAGCGGGACCGGGAGAGGTTTAGGACTCTCCCGGCCCGCCAGGCCCGGGAACGGGCCAGGTACCGCAGGCGACTCAGGCGCCGAAGGTCGCAGAACGACCTCCGTCCTCCATAAGCGCAGGCCTGGGGGTGACAGGTGAGGCCATCTGTCACCCTAGCAGAAGCAGGCCGGGGTGGCGGCAAGCGCGTTGCGAAGCGCGCTCGCTTCCAGGGAGCACCGGGAACATGGGGTTCCCACACTTGGGGGGGGTCGTCTACTCGTCTGCAGATCACCCGAGGTATGTCGGGGTACCAGGGACTTTCTTTCTAGGGTATACCTGGTTCCCCGGCTATTAGTACCCGAGACGGCGTGCGGTTTTAGTCGGTTCGAGTCCGACATGCCATAGACAGGTGGTATCCGAGGGGATCTCCGCACGGAAAAAAAAAAAAAAAAGGGTAGTGGTTACATAAATTTCTCTATATATTAGGAGCTGGTGTCTGACATAAACGTTACAAGATTTTCTGCGAAGACGTCATCTCGCAGAAGGAGGCGGCGGAGAGGGCCCGGGAGGACTACCTCCACTCGGACCCAATCCGTCGCCGTCGCCGGCGGCGGAGGCGCGCCTATCACCGCCTCATGCCGCCCAGAGTGTGGCCGTGGGTGGACGGGACGGGTTTGCCCCTCCACCCGCTATAACGGCCAGCCGCGAGGAGGCGATGTCTGCGTATGCCGGACGTCGCCTAAATGGAGATTTTACCCGAAAGTGGTGCCCGCGCCACTGCGGGCAGGCGCTAGGAGGGGTCCGGATGTCTTAATAACAGCAGTTGGGACTAACCCCACCCACACGCCCACCACTGTAACTCCTGTACACCAGGATCCACAGCAGTGACCCACGAACACACCGAGTTATGACACTCGGGAAGTCCCAGGAAGAAATTAAACTGTCTTGGAACCGCAACGAAATTAATCAGAAGAAAATTGGAGGAGATGGAAATACAGTATATCCACTTCCCTCCTTAGCAAAGCGGGAGACAAAATGAAGTAAAATAGGCATACACCCTTTTAAACAGGGAAGCACCACGGCCACAAAATATTACGGGTCCTACGTGAGCTATATTTGATTTCTATAATATGTATGGCAGAATCGCCTAATCGCACGGAAATTCACCCTAGTTGACACAAGATCCCTATAGTATACCGCCCCAGATGTCACCTGCAAGGTATTCAGCATTATATTACGTTCATTATACCAAAGACTACATTCCCAGAGGATATGATGAGCAGATTGTTCATAATAAGAGTTAGGTGTTGAGCATTGACACAATGGTGACTCGACTAATTTAAATGAATACAACTTGCTCTTAAAGTTACCATGACCCGTAAGAAATTGAGCGACACAGTGATCCACCTCAAGCCATGTCCTCGACAACCGTTCGCGAACAGATGGAAAAAATTGGTAAAGATGGCGCCCCTTGGATGATTCGTCCCAGCGTTGCTGCCATTCGTTGTTGTTGTTGCAATCTTGTAATTTTACCGCGATCCCGCGCGCCCAAGAAATCGCATTCCATGTTTTGTCTTGAATAGTACATGGCTGCACGTCTCAGCACCTCGAGATCGACCGGAAGGACACCTGCCAACACCGGCAAAGCCTCAGTGCTAACCGTCCTATATGCCTTGCACAAAAATATCAGTGCAAGTCGTTGGCCTTGTAACAGTTTGCGAAGGACAGCGCCTACGGTCGCCCTATCGGCCCATACAGGTGCACCATAGCACATAGAACCTAAATAAGTAGCTCCGTATATGATCTTTAATGTATTAAATGATAGACCCCATGTCGCAGTTGATATCCTTGTCAATGCACAGAAACTCTTTTTAGACTTTTCATTAACTATTTTAATATGTTCGATAAATGAAAAGTTTCTTTCTAAAACTAACCCTAGATAACACACTGCGGTTTTATTTTTTACAGTAACATTGTCAAATCTAATGCTCGGCGGTGATTTGAGGTTACCTTTTAAAAGTAGCTGGAAGGTTTTGTTGGGTGCAAAAGTTAAGCGATTACGTTCACCCCATTGAGATATCAAGTTCAAACATCTATTGGCTAATCTCTCAAGCCCCGCCCTAGTATCAGATTCCACCAGTAATAAGCCGTCATCAGCATACGCGTTAAGAGTACATCCGGATGGTATTGGTATCGCAAGAAAATCGTCGAAGCCGATATTCCACAAGTATGGACCTAGCACCGATCCCTGAGGACATCCCATTGTAAGCGCCTTCGACACAGAATGATGACCAAGTCTTAGTTTAGTTGTACCTTGTGAAAAGTACGAAGAGATAAGGGAATAAATATTTTTTAAGCACCCCCTTGATTTTAATTTCAGCAACAGCATGGGCCACCATGCGTTGTCGAAGGCGCCAGATATATCTAAGAAAATAGCCAGCACGTATTGAAATTTTGACTCTGTGACAAACTTTCTAACCGATATAGCAGCGTCAGTTGTCGATTTACCCAACGTAAATCCAAATTGTCTATCATGAAATTTGACTCCACCTGGCAGAAGCCGGGGCACTACAAGACGTTCTAACAGCTTTCCTAACGATGGTAACAATGTTATTGGTCGGTAGGATTTAGGATCATCCGGTGGCTTGTCGCCACTTTTTGGTATTATACGAATATTACCGCAACGCCATATACGAGGAAATATTCCTTCAGCAATGCAACGTTTAAAGACAGTGAAAATCGTGTCACCCGAAAGTTTACAAGCTTCTTTTATCATTTTGTTAGATATTTTATCATCGCCCGAAGCCTTGTTTAGCGGCAAGGATCTAACGATACCGAGAAATTCGTCTGAAGATGGTAAATCAGACATTGGAGACAGTGGTGGTTCGATGGCCCACTGCCTGATCTGTCGGTGATGATCAGTGTCGTTCTCCGGCCGATCGTCAGGTACGAGTGAGTCTAAAAGATATTCTGCTGTTTGTTCTACTCCTGTGGTATATCTGTTATTAATTTTGATGTTCTGTATGTATGCAAGGTCGATTGATCTATTTGCCTTAAATTCGTGATACAAAGGTGACCACGGGCCCTCTCTATCGAGTTTATCAACAAGTTTCTGAATTAAGTTTCCCTTGGATTTTTCCACAGCAGCTCTGTAGTGGGACCTGGCAACTCTAAGAGCAATGAGAGCATTGTTGTACAAATCTGTTAGTGATAGATCCGCGACCAATAGTTACATCAGCGCAGTATGTAAAAGTTTCTGATAGTATTTCTGCGCTTTCCTCAGCTGATAAACTACTGCGACTGAAGTCTTTGGTATGAGTTGCAAAGAGTGAACCAAACAAAGCCCAGTTCGCACCTTTAGTTTTATATCTGAAATTATAGGGAGCCTTTTGTGGATCCTGTGCAACCCTTGGTATGAATTCGTACACGATTAAGCGGTGATCACTACAGGATGCGTCCGGAAGGACACGCCATCCGGATATCGAGACGTCGCCGCGCGTAAGCGTCACGTCAATAGAAGACTCACCCATTGGGTTGCAAAAAGTTGGTGGTGCATCGGGGGTATTGTGAATAATAAGATTCATTTCCGCAATGAAATCTTCAACCGCACAACGTCGACCCGTGTCGGTTGCACGCAACTTGCCATACCATAATGAAGATGACGCATTGACATCAGCGCCAATGATAATTTTATGTCCCACGAGGAACTGCAAGACGTAACGTAAGTGATGTAAGTGAGGATCAATAGGATGTGAGTATTGAAAATAGCAGCTCACTACGTAAACCTTACAGGTAGAGGATGAGATCTCAGCAACGGCGCAGTGTGACGTCATAAGATTACGCAAAGATGTTACCGTAAAATTAGAACTTGCAACATATATCCCAGCCTGCGAACGGCAGTCAAGCTGTACTACATTACGACGCAAGCGAGCGCTCTGATATTGTTCTTGTAAAAGGACAATGTCTAACTTTTGTTCTAAAATTAAACGGTCTAATTCTGATGTAGCTATTTTATCGTTATGAAGATTTAACTGGCCTATCGAAATATTATTCATTACTAGTAAGTTACTCTTTAAACTTTTTTTTTTTTTTTTTTTAACTAAGTTAAACTATTCAGTAATTGGTATTTAATATTAGCTGTTCCAGTTTTAATTTGTATGTGGCACAGTCGTATGAGCCGCATCGATGGTCAGATGGTTTTTTGAACTGCTTACACTGTGCGCACGTGGGTTTAAAATCTGGTGTGTCTTTATCTGGACAAGCTCGCGTTTCGTGTGCGGTGCGGCGGCGCAATTAGTTCCCGGATCCCTCCTATTACAGGCGCAGAGTGGCACACCGTGTGGGTTTAGTCGGTCCCCGGTGGGGTGACGGCCCGAGGGGGTTTTTATACGTAAAAAGAAAAAAAAAGGCGTTACAAGATTAGTGGATATCTCATGGAAGATCCTTTGGTCCCAACAAGATTAGTGGATAGTTCATGTATGTTACGTTTTATACTTCTGATGTTTTGTTGTAATATCTTTATCTGAGAAGAATTGTGACAAGAAGGAGTGACAGTCCTGAGCTGTACAAACTGCCGTGTCAGCTATCATATACGAATCTAAATCTCTTTGAATATCATTTATGTCATTGAATTTTTTAATTATTTAATTTACAGATCAAACAAATAAAGCCAAGAATTATTACTGCAAATATTGAGCCGGCCCTATATAGATCGACTAATTGACTCTGGCCGGAATAAAGTAGGTAACATTCTGATTATGGCAAAATTTTTGGTTAATGTGTACTGTTTATAATTAATGAATAACCTGATTTTACCTGTGTATGGAATATCATGTGTGCTGGTTATGATGCTGCGCGATAGTGCGATATAACATAATGTAAGTATGTGTATGTATGAGTTATGTGCTGTAATGTGTGGTGTAAGGTAAGTTTTAAGACAGAGTTGTAAAAACCAAAAAACGCAGAAAAAATAATCTCTGGAAACATAAAACTATACAAACAGCTAGTCATTGCTTTCAACTTAGTCAAATCAGCTTCTGAGTTGTCCACTACATGTGGTCGGACTTCACGTTTACGTAGGAAGACTTTCCCATTAGTACTCCAGCAGTAATTGTAATTATTTCATTTTGCTAATTCTCGAGGCACTTAAAAGAGTTTTTTTGCCTTTTATGTTAAATTTTCAGCAAAATACACCAGTTGTTTTAGGCAATCAATTGGCATCAGTGTTGTGCTGAATTTATTTTCTTTATTTCATTTATGTCTTCACAGACTTCAAGAGGTTTTCTTTTAATAATACACTAGAAAACTCAACAACTATCAGCGTGTTCTGCTCAGACTTTTTATGAATGCGATATGTATCACGGATATCAGTTTTTGCCAATAAATCATTAAGAACTTTGCTGGTATTTACAATTAGTTCCGATGAATCTTCCTTGAATTCCTTTAACTTTTGGGGGACGTTTCTTATTTCTAAGGTCTTCACGCACAAGGTTTTCTACTCTGTTTTCTAGAGTTATGATATAGTTGTGGGTTAGTTGTCTCTCACTCCCATTTCATTCAATCTGTTAGTCTATCTGTGAGATTAGCTATATGAGGATCCCACAGCAGCTTATTATCTAAAGTTATACCCAAGAAGACTGTAGTATTGACCACGTCCAATTCCTCATCCTTAATAATTACATTTGATTTAGTATTACCTGACATTGGGTGTTACAATCTTAATACATTTAATATTTTATTTGTCTCGTTCAGTAACAAGTCATTTACTTTGAACCAATAAACGACTTTAATATAACGTTGTTTGTATCGTAATAATTCTCTAGTTGTGTTTTAATTTTGAAAATTAACCAATTATCTATCCGTGTGGTGACGGATTAAGAATACAGAGTGTCACTACCCCTATTTATCCCGTGGGTGTCGTAAGACCCGACTCGACTTAGACAACAGCACTGCAAAGAGAATGAAAACTTGACACAAACCCTTTTTTTTTTTTAACGTGTGGAAATCCCCTCGGACCGTCACCCCACCGGGGTTTGCGGCGGGGTGGTGTGTCGGACTCGAACCGACTAAAACCACACGGTGTGCCCTCTTTGCGCTTCCAGTTTAGGAGGGGTCCAGGTAGTTATCGCCTTCTGGACCCCTCCCAGCGCCGGCCCGCTCCTGGTGCGGGCTCCGTCTTCAATTATCCTCTCTTTAGGCGACGTCCGGCACACGCGGACGCCGCCCCCTCGCGGCTGGCCAACTAATGCGGGTTGAGGGGAGAACCCATCCCGTCCACCCGCGGCCACACTCAGGGCGGCATGAGGAGCAGGTAAGCGCCCCTCCGCGGCCCGGTTCGCCGGCGGCGGATCAGGTCCGAGTGGAGGTCGTCCTCCCGAGCCTTCTCCGCCGCCTCCTTCTGCGAGATTACCTCCTCGCAGAAGGTTGCGACCGCGGTAAAACAACTGTCGCTACCGGCCATGGAGCGAATTACGGCCGGTAGCGAGAGATCTGCTCGGATGACTGCAGTGAGGGCCCGGCGTTGCGTCGCCCATGCGGGGCAGACCGCCAGCGTGTGCTGGGCCGAGTCCTCACTGCAGTCGCAGTGGTGGCAGGCGGGACTCAGTTCCCTCCTAGCGACCGAGTGCAGGTACTTTCCGAAGCAACCGTGCCCGGAAAGCACCTGCGTCAGCCGGAAGGAAAGGGTCCCGTGCTGCCGCCCTGCCCACTCGGCTATGACCGGCTGGAGAGCCTCCACGGCGGCGAAGCCAGCGCGTGGAGTCTCCAGCCGGAGCGACCATCTGACCATGGTGGCTCGGCGAGCGGCTTCGCGCCACTCGCGCACGTCTTCGGGCGGAGGGCGAAATCCGCTCTCCGCCCGGAAGTCAGCCACTCGCCGATAAACTTCGGCGAGCACCTCCGCCTCCAAATCCCACGGGGGTGTTCCGGCCAAGGCGCAAGCCGCCTCGGTGGACACCGTGCGGTATCCGCGTATGGCTCTGACCACCAATATCCTCTGGGGGCGCCAGAGGCGCACCCTATTCGGGGCGGTCAGAGCCGCCACCCACACCGGTGCACCATAAACCGCCATGGACCGGACAACACCCGCGTACAGCCGCCTCGTGGGAACACTGGCCCCGCCCAAATTGGGTAAAAGTCGCCCTAGGGCGGAGGCAGTGTCCAACAGCTTCGGACCAAGCTGTCGGAAGTGCTCGTCGAAGAGCCACCTACCGTCTAGGACCAGACCCAGGTACCTCATCTGGGCCCGGACCGGTACGAGGACCGAGCCGACCTCGATTGAGGCGCCGGCGGGTGGACCACGACGGGGCCCATGAAATAATAGGGCCTCCGTCTTATCCAGGGCCACCCGTAATCCCAACGCCTCAATGCGCCCGACCACCTGGGCAACTCCCGTGGCGGCCAGGCACGCCGCCTCCTGGAAGTTAGCCCCCCGGGCCGTGAGTAAGGTGTCATCTGCGTAGCAGATTACACCCAGCCCGGGGGGGAGACGCCCTCGTAGGGCCCAGTCGTACCCGATGTTCCACAGGAGAGGTCCTAGGACAGACCCCTGCGGAACACCGCACGACATGGCCCTGCGTCTCAAGACGCCTTCTCGGTCCTCGTACATGACGGTTCGCTCCTCAAGATAGTCTGCCACCAGCCGCCTCAGGTACTCCGGCACTCCGTGGTAGCGGAGCGCTTCCCTGATGCAGCTGAATGGCAGACTATTGAAGGCGTTGGCGATGTCCAAAGACACCGCCAACACCACCCTGCCGCAGCTCACAGCCTCCTCGGTCACGGCCCTAAGGCGCATTACGGCATCGATCGTCGAACGCCCCTCTCGGAAACCGAATTGGGCGTCCGACAGATCGGGGCCAACCTCGCAGAGGTGCCGAACGATGCGGGCAGAGAGTACCCTCTCAAAAAGTTTACCCGCCTCGTCCAGCAACACGATAGGCCTATAGGCCGCGACCGAATCGGTAGGCCGTCCCGGCTTCCTCAGCAGGACCAGCTTCCCGCACTTCCAGCGCTCAGGGAAGCGTCCGGACGCCAGGCTAGCGTCCAACACCCCCCTGAGGTGGTCCGACATGTAGTCGAGGGCTCGGGCCATCTCTCGGGCTGGAACCCCGTCCGGCCCGGGGGCAGTGTGTTTAGCTATCTCCTTCTGGACCCTTCCCAGCGCCGGCTCGCTCCTGGAGCGGGCTCCGTCTCAGTGGACCCTCTCTTTAGGCGGCGTCCGGCACACGCGGACGCCGCCCCCTCGCGGCTGGCCAAATAATGCGGGTGGAGGGGAGAACCCATCCCGTCCACCCGCGGCCGGTTCGCCGGCGGCGGATCAGGTCCGAGTGGAGGTCGTCCTCCCGGGCCTTCTCCGCCGCCTCCTTCTGCGAGATTACCTCCTCGCAGAAGGTTGCGACCGCGGTAAAACAACTGTATACCAACCCGTCTGGCCAGCGTGGTATAGTAGGCCAAAACCTCCTTTCTAAGGAGAGGCCTATGTCCAGCAGTGGACTGTTAAAGGCTGTTGATGATGATGATGATGATGAAAAACCAATTATCATTAGCAAACAATACTATAATGGCCCTTTATGAGTAAATTGTTCATATACAATTGGAAAAGAAAAGGCCCCAGTATTGAGCCTTGTGGAACACCGATTAATTTAAAGCACACGATCGAAGACCTTGGACTTGTATCATCATCAACAGCCTATAATAGTCCACTGCTGGACATAAGCCTCTCCTTAGAAAGGAGGTTTATGATTACCCTTAATTAAATGTTTATTCAAGTAGAAAGATAATAAAATTTTGAAGAAATATTACATATTATGTTTAGAAATAATATGTAATAATAATAATATTTTGGACATCTGACACACAACTCCATCTAGTGTCAAACTAAGCAGAGCTTATACTATGAAACCAAGATTGACTGATAAGATACTTTTATACATTATTTTGTCAAATATACACACATTACCTATACATAGAAAACAAATAAACTTGGAAACAAATATTTGCAGACTTTATAAAGATTTGTTTCGACCCGGGAGTCGAACCCGAGACCTGCACCACCGGGGCTTAATATTCGGCGGGGTTAAATTTTTTTCATTTATTTATTCAAAAGTAGAGCTTGAAGCTTTCAGAACCTTCAGAACTTAAGTCTTTCAAATTTAAACACAGAACGTTCTTGTTGTTCGAAAAGCGCCTATTCCTTATGCACATGCAGGATTTGTATTAAGTTGCAGCTTCGTCGTGCATCGAGATAGCTTTAAGTCACCCCTCTTAGTCATCATTATAAACTTACTAGCTGACCCCGCAAACGTTGTTTTTCCAAATACTTTTTTTTTAAATTGTCAAAAAAAAAATACGGGTATGAAAAATAGATGTTGGCCGATTCTCAGACCTACCCGATATGCACACAAAATTTCACGAAAAACACGAGAATTTTATATATAAGACATCGAAAACAGTACAAGTCATTTCCTGTTAATATAGCGTTTTAATTTTAAAACCTAGAAATTATTAAAATTAACCTTTTAAACCTAAAAATTACCGCGCTACACTAGTATTATTTGCCTAATCTAAATCTCTTTGCTTAAAGCAAAGTAAATCAAACAAAATTCAAATTATAAACGGTATATTTTAACGTAAGTGCAATATTTCTTTGTTTAGTTCAATGTTTTTCTTACTTTAGAGATGACTTTTTTTCTAAACTGGTTCACCTTGACCTTAACTTTTACTTTAACTTGCAGGTGTTTCAGAAGCTGCGATAGGTCTTCATCTTCTTCGGAGCTATCATCTTCGCCTTCATCACTACCATCTTCTTCACTACCATCTTCTCGTTCTGGTGTGGTTGGTGGTACGGTGGTAGGCGGCAAAGTTGTTGGTGGTAACGTGGTGGGTGGTAACGTGGTGGGTGGTAGAGTGGTGGGTGGCAATGTTGTGGGTGGTAAAGTGGTAGGAGGTGAGGGTGTTGTGGTTGTTGTCGTGGTGGTTGTTGTCGTAGTGGTTGTTGGTGTTTCATCTTCTTCTTCAGGTAGATTTTCAAAATCAAGACCAGAAATTTGTGTAAACCACCAGTGGAAAAATCCTGGACGTATGAAAGCTGAAATAAAATTAACAATGAGTTTTGAACTGAATTAGGAAATCAATCCCAAAGTTTTGACACGATTTGGAGTTTATAATTTATATTACTCTTAAATTAATTATTTTGATCTTAAAAAATATGAAAGGTAGTAATTAAATACCTGCAGGAATTCCGGAATGGCATCCACCAGAGTTTGCACCCGCCACGAAAGAGGATACACCGATAAGGATTCTTTCACCTTCAGGGTTGGTAAACACCAGTGGACCACCGCTGTCGCCCTTGTGGGTAAAAAAGGAAGTTATTAATTTATAAGGGATTTGAAGATACTAAGTAATATCTGCCATGTCTGGCACAGTTCGGTACTACACTCGGTTCCAAAAATAACGGGTCAGTCACAAAAATTGAAATACCTCCAGAACTGTAAAAGTTAGATCAATGAAATAAAAAAACAGAATAAAGACATTTTAGTTGCGCTTCTAATAGCATATTATTTAAACTGGTTGATGAAAAAAACTTCATTAGAAAAACAAAATTAAAAAAAATGACTATTTTTAAAAACAATATTTTTGTTTCATTTCATTATGGATGCTTTCCATTTCTATTCTGTCACAAAAAAAATTATCGTGAACGTCTTCCACGTGCATAATTATTATTCTGTGAGGTGAAGCATGGCAGTCACGCTAGAGGAATGTACCAGAATCCTAACTTTTTTGGAACTTGGGCGGAGCCAGCGTGAAACAGCCAGAAACATTGTTGTATCTCTGTCGACTGTTCAGCGGGTAGTCCAGCGGTACCAAGAGACCGGATCACACCTTAGAAGACCAGGAAATGGCAGACCAAGATGCACAACGGCCAGGGAAGACAGACAACTGGTGGCTACAACGCTCCGAAATCTTTCTCAAACTGCTGTTGGTCTAAAAACTCACTTTATTCGCTTTGGAGGTGGCAATTTAAGCGCTCAAACAGTAAGAAGACGTCTTGCTGAAGCAAATTTGAAACCATTGAGGCCCGCAAATGGCCCCAAACTGGAACGGGGACATCGAATTGCAAGACAGAGATACGTGCGCGAGCACCTAAACTGGACACTAGACGATTGGTCTAGGGTAATGTTCACGGACGAGTCTAAATTCATGCTTTATAAGCATGATGGTAGGCAGTTGGTGTACAGAAGACCAGGGGAGCGCTTCCATCAAGCGTGTGTGGAGGAAAAAGTGGCGTACGGTGGAGGCTCCGTACAAGTTTGGGCTGGGATTTCTACTGAGGCCCGCACCGAACTGGTACTCATTCAAAATGGAACTCTAAATGCAGAGAGGTACGTGGAAGAGATCCTCAATGAACATGTAGGTCCTTTCATGGCCAGGATAGACCGGCATGGCATATTAATGCATGATAATGCGCGTCCCCATACCGCCAGAATTGTACATGACTACCTTGAAGAGGTCGGTATCGAACTCATGCAGTGGCCAGCGCGAAGCCCGGACTTAAACCCCATCGAGCACGCCTGGGACGAGCTTCAGAGATGCGTGAAAGGTCGAAACCCCCCACCAATCACGCTTCCCGAGCTCAAACAAGCACTGGTGGAGGAATGGGAAGGTATTCCTCAGCACCGGCTCCGAAATTTGGTGTACAGCATGCCTAATCGCCTGAAAGCTGTCAGAAGAGCTCGTGGAGGCAATACAAAGTATTAAATGAAGAAAGTGATGAAAAACAGCAAAAAAACAATCATAAAAAAATGTAATCTTAAGAAAAATATGACTACTTTAGTTTTTTTTTTATTTAGAGATAACTTAAGAGTTAGAGAGTTTAGATTTAAGTTTTATTTTATTTTTTATTTTATCTGTATAATTAAATTCTCAATTGAACAGTCTTCGTTTCATTAGGATGGCATACGTAGTTCGGGAGATATTCGGGTTTATGTGACTGACCCGTTATTTTTGGAACCAAGTTTATTAGTTACGGTAGCCATATTTGATGTGGCATCGCTTGTGCACTCGTTGCTCAAATCAAATAAAGCGTGGTTCACATTTTCGTCCCTATTCACGAAATCCTTCCCACATAATGCCAGAAAGCAAAAGGAAAGAGGAAGAGATAGATCTATTTTTCTGTATCTAACGTTAATACTTAATTACGGTTAATAACATGAGGCCAAGTTCTGAACTAGTTTTCGAGGGCAATTCGTACTAGTCCATACTAATATTATAAATGCGAAAGTGTGTCTGTTTGTTGGTCTGTCTATCAGTCTGTTTGTTGCCTCTTTACGCTTGAACTGTTTTAGATAAAATTTAGTACGCGCTTGTGACTCCTGAGTTGCAGACGTTCATGGACGGCGATGGTCACTTTCCATCAGGTGACCCGACTGCTCGTCTGCCCCCTCTAACTTAAAAAAAAAGTACAGAGATAGTTTGAGTCCCGGGAAAGGACATAGGATAGTTTTTATCACAGAATATCTTTTATAATCTTCTTGTCCGTGTAGTGACGGATTAAGAATACGGAATGTCACTACCCCAATTCATCGAGTGGGTGTCGTAAGAGCCGACTAAGGGCGCAAAGCAACGCAGGACACCAGAACTGCAAAAAGACAGAAAACTTGACACAAACCCTATACCAACCCGCCTGGCCAGCGTGGTATAGTAGGCCAAAACCTTCTTTTTAAGGAGAGGCCTATGTCCAGCAGTGGACTATTAAAGGCTGTTGATGATGTGTGATGTGATCTTTTATAAACAACATACACGCAAGAATATTTTTTAAAAACCTTCTTTTATTAAAATAAACAATGGACTTTAAAAATGAACGGGTTTGTTTTAGGGCAGATTTCCACTTATTTATATTTACTTAGCTATACATATATTATGTTATATCGGTATTATAGTTAAAGACATTGTTAGACAGAAATATTACCTGACATATAGACTGCGATGTGACGTTGAACCATTGTGCGCAAATAGAGGTCTCGGTGACCAGAGTTCTACTTAACCTCAGCCTGCAGTCATCATTTGTTACACCTCGAAGGAATACCCATCTGAGCTCCCGAGATGCCGCACCTGAAATGTAGACGTTTTAATTGGTCCAGTATGAATTCACAGCTTTTATATAGTTGACAAACTGGTAACATTTTACTAGTTTGTCAGATCAAGCCGTCTCTTTTTACACGCTTTAAATGTTTTCACTTGTATGTTTGCATGTTTGTTTGTAACCGACTCCTTTGGGCGTGATTTTGACTGACTTTAAACGGTCAGAATTCGTTCAAATTTTGTAGATATAGCGAGGATCGATGACAATACACAAATTAAAAAATAAAATTTAAAAAAAAATAGTTTAAAAAACTAAAAAACACGCTTTTTATAGAAAACCAAACTAAAAAATAGAAAATAAATTTTAATATAATTTGTTTTTTAAAACTATTTTTTTTAACAGACTTCACAAAAGAGGATTTTATCAATTCGGATGTTTGTAATTTTTTTATGTATGTTCGGGCATTCATTCATAACTCCGTCATATATAGACGGATTTGCATAATTATTTTCTGGTCGATAGGGATTTTTCCGAAACGGTTCCATTTTTTTTTATGGTATAAGGGGGCAAACGAGCAGAAGGGTCACCTGATGGTAAGCAACTACCGCCGCCCATGGACACCTGCATTTCAAACGTCACAAGTGCTTTCTGCCCTTGGGATGGGGGATTAGGGCTCCGGTAACCTTACTCACTCAGTGAAAGGCAACGAAATAATTGCTTAAGACCGGTTTTCTGTGAGGCCGTGGTATCACTCCACCGGTGGTATTACCCACGGGAAAAAATCCCATTTAAATTTCATATAGATCTGATAATGAGTTTCGGAGACAGACAACGGAACTCTTCAAAAAATGACAGCAAAACAACCGCGATTAGGTTTTTAGAGCTCTTTGTTAGTATTGTTTGAAGTCGGTTCAACTTTTTAAAGGATTTTTAATACACTGATTATTTTAATCCCTTGAATCTCGAAAAAACATTAGGGATTGTGTGTGACTGTTTGACTAAAATTATAGTTGGCAATGTGTGGCAAGGCCTCTGTACTTACCGCCAGTCCAAGTGGCGCCAAATCCACTAGCGTGCAATGTTTGAGCTCCATAGTTTCTATTAGCATCCGCTGATGGTTGAATGCGGATTGGTCGGAGATTTCCTGTAATGAAAAAAACATTTTACACATGTATCTAAGATTCATAAATACTCCTGTACCACATCATCACATCAACAGCCTTTAATATTCCACTGCAGGACATAGGCCTCTCCTTAGAAAGGAGGTTTTGGCCTACTATACCACGCTGGCCAGACGGGTTGGTATAGGGTTTGTGTCAAGTTTTCCTTCTTTTTGCAGTGCTGTTGTCCTGCTTAGTTTTCTCCCTTAGTCGGCTCTTACGACACCCACGGGATGAATTAGGGTAGTGAAAAATACCTTCAGAAGAGAAATAGCCCAAAAATCAACATTAATGTAATTTTGAAGATTTGTAGGGAGGTTGATCACCTAAATGTCATCAATTAAAAATAAAACACTAAAATTTTTATTCATCTTAGTAAAATAAATAGTTGTTTCAAATAGAGAGAGAGAGAGAGATTTTCTTTTCTTCTCCCCGAAAGGAAAAATCATCAAAACCAACATATCTGCATAAAATTCAAACGATTTTGAACTCTAAATCTTTTTAACAATCATAGTGGCTCGTATTTTTGTTTTCGATACGTCTTCCATCCCACATTATTACATAATAAAAGGCGCATGAACAAATAAATACCCACTTGTGTAAGTAATTGGTTGTTCCAGCTTCACAATACTGATGTCATTCGGTTGAACGCGACGACGGTCTGAGGCATCGAATGTGGGAAAAGTCCAGTACTGGGTCGTTGGGGCGAGGTACTCTGGTGTGGGGTCACTGATAGAAATCGTGCCACCACGGACAATCATGTTGATACTCCTGAAATAAATAAAAATGATCCGTCAGTTTATATCATGAATAAAAGAAACAAATAAAATCCTCTACATATACCATGACTGGTTGGAGGCGGCTTAAGAAAAGGGCCGGATGGCGTAGTGGCTTGTGTAACGGTCTGCTACGCCAAAGGTCGCAGGTTCAATTTCCGCTCAACTCAAACTTTTGTGTGCATGTTTGATTTGGTCTGGGTGTTTATAATATGTATGTATTTACAAATAAAAGTATACATGTATTTATATCAGTTGTCTAGTACTCAGTTTGGGGCTAGATGGCGTTGTATGAATATGGTAGAATATTAATTAATTATTGATTTATTTCATGAGCAAACGTGCAGACGGGTCACTTGATGGTAAGTAACCACAGCCACTCATGGACCTGGAGCTCAAGGGCCACAAGTGTCGTTGAGTACCCCCCCCCCCTTCACTCCTCCCAGCGCCAACCCCCCTAAGTCTAACGAAATCATTGCTTCACACCGATTTTCTATAAGACCCTGGTTTTACTCCACTTATATAAAACCAATCATAGCTCTCTGATTGTCATTTTAAGGTCTTTACAGTGAACAGTAAACAGAAAATGACAGCGAAAAAAAAATGTTTTACAGATAATTTAGTTTGATTATAGTTAGTATTTACCAACCCGTCTGGCCAGCGTGGTATAGTAGGCCAAAATCTCCTTTCCAAGGAGAGGCCTATGTCCAGCAATGGACTAGTATAGGCTGTTGATGATAGGTAGTATTTGAAAACTTACAAAGCGCTACAATGCGCCGCAGTGATCATCCATTCATGATGCACAAAGCTGCCTCCACAGATCGTTGCTTGTCCATCAGCGCGCTCTATACGAAGCTGTGCCTGGTGGGGGTGTTGACCCAGTGTAGCCTCCCATCCCGAGACGATACGTGGTGTCAGTGAGGTTAGTCGCGATCCTAGTAAAATGTGATTCATTTATAAGTACTGCGGTAGCGTATTTATTGTTTTTAAGCGACTGTGTTGGTTTGCCAAGTTATGGTGTCCATTTGGAGATTAAACTCAATGCTGATAAATTTATATGCCAAAGATCGCATGTTTGATTCTTGCTGATGTTTCTATGTATAATGTGTATGTATTTATAAAAAAAAGTATAAATGTATTTATATCAGTTGTCTAGTACCCATAGTACAAGCTCTGCTTAGTTTGGGACTAGATGGCGTTGTGTGAATGTAGGAAAATATATTATATTATTATTATATTATATAATAGTCATATCAGCTTCAGCGTCGTCCTTCTCTTTCTGAGACTTCTTTAATACTCTATAAAATTATCTTAGACAACCTCCTTGGCATGTGAAAGCGTGTCCTTCATCTGTTACTATTTAAACGGTTTCTATTGAATTATTAACAGGTGAAACAATTTTGTTAAGCCAATTATGTGCTATGACTAATCAATACATTATCTGTTGATTATTAATTAATGTATTGGTTATTTAATGTTACAATTTAATACTGGAGTGATTGAACAACGGAGGAAATACAAAGAAATATTGAACTCAACCGTAGTAACAACCACCAACCAAATAAGCTTGCCCTAACATAGTCCCTAAATCGCTTATATCTTATATATAAAATTCTCGTGTCACAATGTTCGTTCCCGTACTCCTCCGAAACGGCTTGACCGATTTTTATGAAATTTTGTGTGTACATCGGGTTGGTCTGAGAATCGGCCAACATTTATTTTTCATACCCCTAAATGGTAAGGGTGACCATCCCTATTTTTTTTTTGTTTTGCAATACATCGTTTGCCGGGTCAGCTAGTATTATATATAAAATTCTCGTGTCACGGTGTGCGTGGTTGAACTCCTCCGAAACGGCAGGACCGATTTTAGTGAAATTTTGTGTGCATATCGGGTAGGTCTGAGAATCGCCCAGCATTTATTTTTCATACCCCCTCTTTTTTGACATTTTTTTTTAAATAATGTGCATGGCAAAACAACGTTTGCCGGGTCAGCTAGTAAGTAGGTACTATATATTAAAAACTTTGTCAAATTTTCTTTTGGAGTTGTCCAAGAACTACTTAAAATACGTAGTACGGCTACATACTGGTTATTGTATTCATTTTTATGTGCTTTTTTCAACTTACCTTCTTCGATCAAATCTTCAATATACTTGGGTTCAATATATTCAGATGGTACCTGTAAATTAATATATTAGATTATTATATGACCACATTCAAGCCAAATAAAGAACGCTATTTGAATAACGTAAATGTTGGTTATTGTTACATTTTGTAACTTGTTTTTTTTACCAATATTGAGTATAATAAGTCGTTTTGTGATTTTCGAATGATATGAGCAAACATTTGGATGACCTCCAGAGGTCCGTGATGTTTGTTCCTTAAATAATAAGATGTATTACGTAATAATGGTCAGGACTCCAACCTGTCTTTGATTGTGTGTGTGATGTGAATTCCGCCTGGTTAACCACATTATTCGCTATTTACTAAAACAAATCATATGCTCTTTCTGAGTTACAACAAAGCTTTAAGAGTAGTCAATAACCGTGGGAGAGCACTGCTTCGGCACGAATGGGCCGGCTCAACCGGATTGATACCACGGCCTCACAGAAAACCGGTGTTAAGCTATTCTTTCCTTGCCTTTCACTGAGCGAATGAGGTTACCGCAGCTCAAACCCCTCCTCCCGCTGACTCGTGCGGGAGGAGGGTGATCCGTCTGCTCGTTTGCCCGCTTATACCATAAAAATAATAATTTATAAACATAAATACCTACACACATCAGTGTAGTGACGGATTAAGAAGACGGAGTGTCAACACCCATATTTATGCCGTGGGTTTCGTAAGAGCGGACTAAAGTAGCAATCTACGTAGGACAACAGCACTGCATAGAGAAGAAAAACTTGAAACAAACCCTATACCAACCCGTCTGGCCAACGTGTAGACCAAAACATCCTTTCCAAGACGGTAGTTGATGATGATGATAAAAACTGAAAGTTTAGTATAAACGCCATAAAATGGTTTCCAAACTTTAATTATTTCAATATATTTTTGAACTAAAAAGTCTTACCGGAATAACCGCGACGGCCAACAACAAAAAAGCGGCTTTCGTCAACATCTTAGCCGCCATACTGATTGCTGTTTAATCGTCAGTTACGAGGTGAACATAATCATCAGCGATTACTACTGCAATCATTGTTCGGATCTAAGATCACTGTCTGGATAAGATAGTTAATTTAGTTTTTGGAAATCATTTGCCACCAAATACTTGATCACAGATGATTAAACTATTTTTCCGTCTTGGTTTGGTCCTCCATATTTCATTAAGGCCTAATCGATTAACGCTTACTTGTGTGTTCCAGAATAGACCTATAATTATATATGTTTGAAAGAACAGAAATCGGTGCTCTGGTTTCTTTAGAGCCGACTTACGGGACAACTTGAAACAAACCCCATACCAACCCGTTTTGCCAAAGTGGTGTAGTAGGTAACCTTCTTATTAAAAAGAGGCCTATGTCCAACAGTAGACTTTTGTGGGCTGTTGATGTATGTTTAGGGTATTAACACTGTTGCAACTTGGTCAAAACGTCGGGTAATTAAAAGGTATGCAATATCTTAATATCTTATTTTAAATATCATTTTAACCGATAATACTACAAAGTGCACTATAGTAACAATTAAATGAAATACGTAACTATATTTAAAAAAAACTTGAAAGAGGTAGGATGTGTGTCAAAATTGAGATTTAAAAGGAAATGTTTTTTTATGGTATTAGGGGCCAAACGAGCAGACATCTGCGACTAAAGAGACACAAGGGCGTTGGCACTAGGGAGCACTCCTTTGACTAGAATAGGATAGAAGAGTAGACCAAAAAAATTCATTCTGTGGAGCGGTTGTATCACTCCGGTCGAGACGGCACGTTTGCGCCGAAACATGGCATTTCCACGGCAAATGTGTATCGTGTTGCCAATATTATATCATCTTAATTTATCAGGTGAACCATCCATGGTCCAAGGATGACGACCTATCAGAAAAGACTCCTGCAAGAAAACTAACAGGTAATGAATATTCTCGGGGGGATGTCGTCCAAGGCGGGGGGGCGCTGTTGAGAAGAGAAGATGTGCCTCAGGCATGGGGTACGGCAGGGAGGACTCCAGAAGCCGCCGATGCGTTCCTGGATCCCCTTCTGACTGTCGAGGTAGGCCACCGCGGAGTTTACTGGGTAGACCGGGCTCCGGGAGTCCCACACACTTGCGTTTCCCCAACGGAGAGGGTAATGAATATTCTACATAACTCGGTCAGGTCGATCTTTAATGCAGTAATAAGCTATCGAAACATTAATTATGGATATACTTTTTTTATAAACTTAGCGGATAAAACTTCAAGATCTTTTATTAAATTTTTATATTACAAGAGTAGGTGTACGGATCATATTTTCATGTGTTAAACCTGATATACTGTTAGTTATTAACTTTCACATCTAATTATGATCTAGTTTGGTTTTTAAGTCGAGGTCATCGAGGTAAACAAGCCATTCGCATTCGCAATGGGAGAGCCAAGCTTCTATACGTAGAGACGAAATTCATCAGCGCATTTTCGCCAACGAATATTTGAAAAGGAGGCTAACGAGCAGATGCTTTGGGTATGAGCCTCACAGCTGTTACCGGGACTAACCACTAGACATGACTTTAGATAGATTAATGTCAAATGATTGACACTTACGAAATAAATAAGTGTAAATCATCATTCGAGAAGCATGCTGTAGATACTCTGTACTATTCCGTCATTCATCTTATTCATTCATTCTAGAGATCGTCTATCGGTTACCTTGCCTTCTACCTTGCCGATGTCTTGTTTTATTTCATGACCAGAATCTAACTTTCTTTCTTTCAATAACTGAAACTGTAATTGTACACATTTCTGTACATAATATATACTGAACCTTTATGGAGTTATGTAACTGTTTTCACATAATTTTTAACATAGTGTTTAATTTTTTTTGATTTGTGCACTTCTTCTAGATAAACATTAAGTGTTCCATAAGATATGTTCCCATCAAAGAATTTTGTTAACAAATTAATAATTAGATAATATTTAATTGAACCCGGACAATTAATTTAGTATATTTAATAAAATCAAGAGTGATTAATCAGAGTAATTATATTGAAAGTCGATAAATCGATGACAAATTAAAATCCCCGTATCTACTTAAGATTGCTACAACTACCCGACAATAGAATAGACCGATAAACTGAAATGATTATTAATTTATATTTTATGTCTTTGCCCTACTGGTTACTAAATATATAATAATAATAATAATAATAACCTCACACATCTCACACACGACCATCTGATCTCAAACTAGGCAGAGCCTGTGCTATGGTAACCGGACTGCTGATAATCATACTTATATATTTCTAAATACCGACGACTGAATGGCGTAGTGGTTTGTGCAACGGACTGCTATTCTAAAGGTTTCATTCTGCCATTCAATGTTTGTTTTGGTCTGGGTGTTTCTATGTATAATATGTATGTATTTACAAAAAAAGTATATATTGATATCAGTTGTCTAGTAGCCATAGTACAAGCTTTGCTTAGTTTGGGACTAGATGGCGCTGAGTGAATGTGGTAATATATAAATAAGAACAGATAAATTATTATATAGAACAACACCACTGCAAAGAGAAGGAAAACTTGAAACAAAACCTATACCAACCCGTTTGGCCAGTGTGGTATAGTAGGCCAAAACCTCCTTTCTAAGGAGAGGCCTATCTCCAGCAGTGGACTAGTACAGGCTGTTGATGATGATGATTGACGAACACTAAAATTAAAAAAAAATGTAAACTTAAAGTTGAAGAACTTAAATAAAGTAAACCTAATCACTGTTTGATATCTAGTTTTCAATAAGACGGTCTAATACATTTCTTAAGTTTGCAATATCGCAGCAAACAAAACTAACAATATGTTGTCTATGAAAATATTAAGCGAAACCTGATTGCAACATCAGGCAATTCAAAAGTATAAAATACATTTTATACGATTGCGTTTAATTCCCTTATACAAACATAATCACACACACCCTCGGAAAAACATACATCATGTGCCTCGGAGAGTACATTAAGGCGTCAGTAAAGGTCCAGGTCCAGGTCCAGGTCGTATGGCACGAGCATCTCTCTCCATCGGTACGGATAGTTGGACCCTTAAAAATTCCGACAACAGTTTATCTATAGAACTTGGATATCGTCTAGTGCTTGGGTTGTGGTGATGGCAGTCGCTCCACTTAAATAAACGATGTTCAACCGTCGTTGGAGACTAAAAGCGGAACCCAACCGTTGGGAAAAAGCCTCAGATGATGAAACATATGTTTACTAGCTTTTGCCAACGATTTCGTCCGCGTGGTGGTCGACAACAGACATAAAACGCTACTACCCAAATAAACCGGTCAGGTACGAGTCGTACTCATGCGTGCAGGGTTCCGTACCTACAAAGATTTTACGTAGATTTTCTCGAAAATTTGTACGGTTGACCTAGAATTGAGAATTTTTTTTTAAAAGAAAGGTCTTACAGCACAAGTAAAGAGAAAATTCTGAAAAATAAAAAAAGTTGAAAATTAAGGGAAATGTTGGTACTTACAAGTTTTCGCGACAATAGAAAAAATTTACCCATATCTTTTTATCGTGTTGACTCAGGACCTTGATTTTTACACACCTAATAAAAACCTAATTTAAAACTTCCTAGGTCTACCCGCTCCTGAGAAAATCGATGGTGACACACGGACAGACGGACTAGAAAGTGATCTTATAAGGGTTCCTTTTTTACCTTCTGAGGTACGGAACACTAATAACGAAGTTTCATAGAAATTTCGAACCTACATTTTGCCCCTCAGGGGTGGATTTTTTAAAGATCATTTCTTAGTACCATCACCTAAGGAACATTAGTGCATAATTTATGCTTCTAAACCCAGTGGTTGCAGCTGCGCGTTGATCGAACAATCAGTGAATCAATCTGATAGTTTCTTCTTTTATATATTTAGATAACACATACATGTTACTAAAGCTTTTCAGTTAATATATGTTTAGTATTCTGGTTTAAGATATTTATTACTCAAAAGAATACAATTCACTTATATTGAGATTTACAAATTATGAACTTAAAAGTAAACTTATAATCTACGAGCACATTTGACGGTGTCACCAAGCATTGTACAAAATCACATAACCAAAATTAAAATGTGGGTACATTAAGAAGAAAATACAAAGGTCGGGTCGCATTACGTATCGGTGTCTGATAGCAAGCGGGTAATTATGCAATCATAATTACAATCGCGATGCTAAAAACTAGAGAACTCTTTAAAGATGTGGAACTTAAGGGTTTTTTTAAATAAGTTGATTGATTGTATTTCTTTCATGTTGTTTGGTAATTTATTATATAGTTGGGCTCCTTCATATAAAATATTTTTCTTTCCGTAGTTGGTTCGTGGGTGTCTTAAACATAAATTATTTTTTCGTCTTGTTATTCTTTTTGAGTGTTTCCTTTTTTTGTAAATGTTAGCTTAGTATGTATATTTTTGTCTAAGATTTTTCGTACTAGTAGACATGTATTGTATTTATATATCTAGTATTAGAATAATTGTTAGATTAGGAAAATTAACAGTGAGTCTAACAATGAAATAGAGGGCATTCACCTCAGCAATAGGCGCCGCGCTCTTTTGTGCCCAATTTGGCAATTAGAAGTGGGCGACCGATAGCCTGAGCACGATCGTCTGGAGATAGCAACTAAAACATAGACCAATTAGCTACTGCCCGCGGTTTTACTTCCATACAACCGTCCGTTTCATATTTTAACCTCTTAGGGTTGAATTATTAATATCATTTCTTAGTTGGTGCCAAAATTTCAAGTTTGCAGTCCCTGTGGGCTCTGCGATGATGAATCAATCTGTTAGATTTTAGAGTGTTAGTTGCCGGTAGCTCTTAAGATTAAACATTAGGTATAGTTTCGTAAAGAAGTGGAAAATTACATCAACGGCGCTATACTTATTTAATTATTTGTTATTAATCTATTATTATCTTTATTATTAAATATTAAATTAGCGATAAATGTAAACGATCAGTGGGACCGGCGTCATCG